CAGGAATGCAGCGCCTTGACCTCATGCTACCTGCTGGCCCTATGGGTTAATCCTTTATTAAATTTCTTTTTATTAATTCATAGTAGAGTCGGTGTGCATGCACACGAGACAGCATGAGAGGGAGAGAGAGAAAGGGGCACCCTCTAAGAAGTCTGGCCAGACCTCCGTGGCCTTCCCAGCTGCCGGGTCCTGGACGTCCACACCTGTCCTGCCTCTCCACGTTGACCAGGCTGGACGTTACAACCAGAGTCACCCTGCGGGTCCGGCTTCTCCTATTCCATGCATTGCTATCCGTGCTGTGTCATAAACCCACACCCAGGGTTTATTCTTCTTTAAAAAGGTTTTTGCAGGGCCAGCGGATGGTGTAGCAGTTACGTCACTGGGCTCCCACAGAGCTGACCACAGCTCAAGTCCTGCGTCCAGTGGCTTGAAACTCTCACCGGGCACGTGTGCATGTGTGCCCAAGATCTGGGAGGAGAAGGGAGGAGAAGGGATTGCGGGGTGGCCACCCCCCCTGGGGGGAGGTTTCTCACTTTCCCTCTGCCTGTCTTTGTCTTTCTCTCCCTCTCTCTCTCTCCCTCCCTCCCTCCAGCAAGTACACATACCCTAAGGCAAACACTTCTTTAAATTCGTCTTACTACTATTCTTATTATTATTTTGCTAGAAGGTGCGTGTGCTTTCTGAGAATGAACAGGGAGAGGAGGGGGACAGTGAGGAAGCTCCCTGCGTGGAGAATGGCCATGCCTCAACCTCTTCCCCATTTCCCTTCTTGGGATTTTGGACACACACGCACACACACACCTGTACCTGGTGTCTGATTGATTGATTGATTGGTTTTCTTTAGGTTTTTATCATAGAGCATGTACACTTGCCAGAGAGAGAGGGAGAGAGAGAGAAGAGGAGAAATCACCCCTCAAGGGGGATGGCCACACTGCAGTCTTTTCTCCTCTGTTCTCCTCTTGGGAGTTTTGGGCACACGTGCACTCATGCTTGACATAATTTTCAAGCCCCCGGGTCTGGGACTTGAACCAGGCAGCCCACCATGTGGTACCCAGCCACCTGGAGCCCTCTGCCACTGGCTGGCTCCGATTCATTCGTAATATAAAGACCAGAGAGATTTTCAAAGAGCAGCCAAGATGGCGGAATACCGTCCTTGGCACGTACGGGTGAAGTGACATTCATTTCCCGCCCTCCCCGGTGGAGAGGACTTCTTCTCAATGATGGACCCACGTGACCTCTGTTCTTTCTTCCATCCCCAGGGATCCGAACCAGCCCGTTCCTCAGGATACCAAGTTCATCCACACCAAACCCAACCGCTTCGAGGAGGTGGCGTGGTCGAAATACAACCCCAAGGACCAGCTGTACCTGCACATCGGCCTGAAGCCCAGAGTGCGGGATCATTACCGGGCCACCAAAGTGGCCTTCTGGCTGGAGCTGGTCCCCCACCTGCACACCCTCAACGAGATCTTCCAGTATGTCTCCACCACCACCAAGGTCCCACCCCCCGACATGACCTCCTTCCCCTACGGCACCCGCCGATCGCCCGGCAAGATCTGGCCCACCACCAAACGCCCGGCCATCACGCCCGCCAACAACCCCAAGCACGCCAAGGACCCTCACAAGACGGGGCCCGAGGACACGACGGTCCTCATCGAAACCAAACGGGATTACTCGACCGAGCTGAGCGTCACCATCGCCGTGGGGGCGTCCCTGCTCTTCCTCAACATCCTGGCCTTCGCTGCCCTCTACTACAAGAAGGACAAGCGGCGACACGAGACGCACCGGCGTCCCAGCCCCCAGAGGAACACCACCAACGACATCGCTCACATCCAGAACGAGGAGATCATGTCCCTGCAGATGAAGCAGCTGGAGCAGGACCACGAGTGCGCGTCCCTGCAGGCCCACGACACGCTGAGGCTCACCTGCCCCCCGGACTACACCCTGACGCTGCGCAGGTCCCCAGACGACATCCCCCTCATGACACCAAACACCATCACCATGATCCCCAACACCCTGACGGGGATGCAGCCGTTGCACACGTTCAACACCTTCAGTGGCGGACAGAACAGTACGAATCTACCCCACGGACATTCCACCACCCGAGTATAGCTTTGAGGCCCCCCGCCCCTTCCCCGCACCCTGCCCTCCAGCCACACACGGAAGACCGCGCCAGACAAGGCAAGGCCGCCAGACCAGGAATGGTTTCCACCTCGCCACCCTGGGACGCGCGCACGGAACAGGGCGGCCGCGTCCCTGCGGCCGCGTCCCTGCAGACGCGTCCCTCCCGTGCTTCCCGGTGTGACGAGATCCACGCCCGGCCCTACGGAAATGTGAAATCCTGTCCATTTTCCTTGCCGATCTCCGCCCCTCCAAACCGACACGCGGCGTGACCGGGAGGTGGCCATGCCCAGGCCCCGGACGTGTCACACGGCGGGCGGCGTCACAGCTGCTGACGGCTCTGGGACTCGGCCAGAGGCATCCTTGTGTTTCTTTTTCGGTTTTCAGGTTTTTTTTTTTTTTTTTTAAATGACAACTGGGGGAGGGGGATTTAAAAAAAAAATAAAAAGTTCTTTACGTGCCATGCCACAGATGGCTCGATGTTCGCCAAGAAAGAGCCTCTGGGGCTTTTGTGCGGCCTAAGGAGCTATCATCCAGAGAGAGAGAAAAGTAGAATTTTACGGTTCGAATCCAAGACTTGACTATGCAGCGAAATCCATACCGTTCTGTGCAAAGGGACGTTTTGCCAGCCTGAACTCTATTTAAGAAACTTTGTACAAATTAAAAGAAAGGGAGAAAAAAAAAAAATGTATATAGCTGTGAGTTGGAAACAAAAAACAAAGGGGGAAAAAAAAAAAAAAAAAAGCTTTTTTCGGTGTTTTCCGTTTGAAAGAGCTTTCCGCGAGCTTGTGCTTCTCATCGTGGTCCGTATGTATATAAATATCTATCTCTATATACTCATCCATGTCACCTGTGTTTCCTTCCCAGCGACAGAGGCTTTTCTTCTCCATTCCTCGCGGCCCACGAAGACGTGGCATTTTTTCTAACGTCTTTCCATCTGCAGGAGGACGGAGCATCGTCCAGAAGACCCGGGAGCATCCGCGTGGCCTGGTCCCCATTTTGCGTGGCCCCAGTGCATGCCACGGCGTTGTCGGGGGACTGTTGTTTCGGAAAACTCTTGATTTGTGTGCGTCTGCCTTCACGGAGTTGAGACACAAAGCTGGGTCCCCCGAGCGGAAGGTCTTTAAAGGTGGTCCCGGGAGAGACGGCGTGTGCACACCAAACGGCGTCGGGTCGGGCTGGGGGGGCCTACAGACAGAAGCCCTGACAGGTGTCCTGTCTTGCTGGAACAGTGGCTGCCCTCCCCCTGCCCAAGGCTCTACCAGAAAAGGGAAGAGAGGTAGTCTTTGGCGGGGCTGTCCCCTACCACGTCAATGAGACTCTGTTCCCCGGCAGCTGCGGGCGGGTTTGGCCAGGGCAGGGCCCGCACGGCTTGGCTGGTCCTATTGGCAGGCCTGGGTGTCGTTTTTGTAAGTCCCTTTTAATTTTTTTTTTTTTTTTTTTATCAGTAAGCAACCGTTTTTTAAATTTTTTTTGTCCTTTATATCATTTTTGAGATAAAACAGCTGCTTGTCTGAGATAATTTACTTTCTTTCTGGATCTGTCCGTGAGTCACCAGGTGCATGTGACAGAAGAAGGAAAGAAAACAGGGGTGGGGGGGAGAGCAGAACATTACAAGTGCTTGTCAAGGTTTTTCTGAGACATGAGGGGAGTCTCCCCGTTTTATTTACCTGTCCGGCCGCTGCACACTCACGATCCGTGGCTAAGAGGGTTTTCCCTCCGGTGGCTTGTCCTCTTTTTCTTCTCTCTTCCCGCGTTCCTGATGGAACCGTGGGAGTGTCCCAAGGCGGACGTGACCCGGACCGCGTGTCTCTTCTGACATGAATGCATCGCCAAGAAACAGCAGCCAAAAAGATGTGCAGCTCACATCTCCGGGCACCCCGGGGTTCTTTTAGAAACCGGGTGTTAAACGTCCTGCCTGAGGCCGGTCATGCTTCATCAGCAGCCCAGCTGCCTTGGGCTTTCCAGTAACCGCCTTCGAGTACCCAGTCCCTACCCGAAAACCGTAGCGGGCTGCAGGGGCAAACCGAGCTCTCAGAAACTCACGCACGACACCGATGCTTGTCCGGGTTGAGGCTGGAGAGGGGTTTTCTGTCTAGGCACGCGTGAATCGGGACGGTCTGGATTCATCGCACACGGCGTACCTCTTCTTAGCCGCCGCGAGGGGTCGCGGGGAAGAGTTGGCCCTTGTTTTCCTCCCTGTCCTGAAGTTTGTTAGCAGCCCCTCTGTCCGAGTGTGGGATTGCCCCGGTTGGACCACAGCAGACAGGGTCTCTGCAGAGCTGAAGAGGAAGGGCCGGCCCGCGCCGTGGTTGGGATCCGTCCCTCCGTGATGTGAGTCGTAGTACCTGTTGAGTATTTTCAATTGTCTTCTGCTAGCAATATGTACAGTTAACGCGTCAGGTTTGTGACATTGGGATAAGGAAAAAAAAAAAAAAGAGTTCCTGTTACGTGAATAACTTTAGCTTTTACAGAGGATTATGATCAAAAGCAATTTAATACATCTTACACGGTATCTTATTTCTACATGGGAAGAAGGGATCTTCATAGAGTTCTATGAGAAAAAAATATACTAGCTATCTATAAAAAAGAGAAAAAAGAAAAAAAAAAAACACTAAGAAAAAAAAAAAAATCTTTCCTAGGCTTTTATTGTCAACCTTCAGAGGCACGCAGGGTTTCATGGTTCCTTGGGTTATGATTTTGCAATTTTGTTTTTGATTTTGCCTTAAGTAAATGATACACGATATATATGGCTGGACACATATGTATAAACTTTTCAGCAGCATTTTTAATAATAAAATATCACAGTATTTTCTAATGCTTTGTGCAAAGAATTCTGCGTCTGTTCTTTCTTGCGACGTGGCCGGTTTCCTTCACGGTGTGGTTTTTCTCTTCTCTGGCACCGTCAGAGCTGCACCGAGAAGGTGGAAGAGCCGCCGGGCCCCTGACTGATGGCGGTCCATGGCTCACTGGGTCCTTCCCCACCACCATGTGCCGGGGGCTGGGCAGTGAGCAAGCCCTTCCCCAGCACACACACGGCCACCTGGGGTCTACCTCCTGTGAGGTCACAGGCTGCCCTGGGCCCTACTGTGTGACGATTTAACTGTAACCTGCATTGTGTCACTGGGGTGTGTGGTGGGTGGAGAACCCTTGGGTGTCCTTGGATCACCCCAAGCCCAACTCGTCCACCGAGGTCTTCAGTCTGTAGAGGGACTGTCTTCCATAAGGCCGCTCTCTGGTCCCTGGGACGTTGGGGACTGCTGAA